TTCCTGGTTTGGGAAAGTTGGCAACATTGGGATGAGAAGGCTGAACACCTGGTTCCAGGTAGCCTCTGTGGCAGGACTAGGCCAAGCATGTTTGCTTTAGCTTCAGAGGAGGCAAGATGGCTTCTCTGGGTAACTTGGGGTCAGCACTACCCACTATCCTCTCCGGAGAGGGGTCAGGAGTGAGGGTGGGTGTCAAGTTTAACCAGCCCATGGTTCTGCAGAATCCTGACACCACCCTAGGTGCAGGTGAGCCAGTCCCCATCCCGTAGCCAACCCACTAGCCTCCAGCAGCTTCCCCTTAGGGCAGTAGTTCTCAGCAGTTCCTTAATTGTCCAGAAGCTTTTCCAGTAACGCAAATCCTTCATGTTGTCCCAACACCCTACATCCTCCACTCCTTTTGGAATCTGAGACCACCCTAGAGTCCCAGCTCCCCACCCCCATCTTAGCACTCAGGAGGCTTTGCCATCCTGTTGCTTTAGTTTGCAGGGACAAAGTCCTTTACAGCAGCCACACTGACCAGGCCAAGCTGGGGTGAGTGACCTTAAGATCCTGCCCTCCTGGTGAGGCAAGGGCTCCAATGTCCCCCAACAGGGAGACTGTGATTCTGGGCCAGACTGTTCTCCAAGCAGAGCTTCAGTGCAGTGCCCTTGGTCCTTCTGCGCACCGGCCCTCCAACACCCCCTCCTGGCAACTGTGGGAAGATCATGCTTAAAAAGGGCCATACAACACATGGGAAAACCAAGGCCTCCCATCTTGATTTCTTTTTTGTGTGTGTATATATTTTTTGTTGTTTTTTGTTTTTTTTCTGTAAAATGTCCTGGTTCTTCCATAACTTATAAACATGATTTATATAGAGGGGTAGAGGGGAAAGTGGACAGGGGTGGACTGACCAGGGATGGGGAAGCTCCTCTTGCTGCCCCCTCAGGGCGGGCCCAGGGCCCTTTGGAGGATGGGGGGACACCAGAACACTCCTCCCTGAGGTCATCTGGCCCCTCTGCCCCTGGTGCTCTGGATCCTGTGTGCCCCTCCATTCCAGAATCCCTTCCAGGACCTCAGGGCCCTGGGGCACACTGCCCTTGCTGCTCAGAATCCTTGGTTCCAGAATTCCCTCCTCAGCTGCTAGGTGGTAGGTTCCCTCCTTTCCACTGTCCTCCCCTGACCCCCAAAAAGGGAGGGAAGGGAGTGGGAGGGGTACTCAGGTCTCCCCTCTGTGGCAGGGTGAGGTGGAGGTGGGATCTGAAGGAGGAAGGGTGTGGAAGGCAGGGGCCAGGAGGGGCTCAGCCAATGGTAAGGCCAAAACCACATTGGAACTTGTTCTTGCGGTGATTTAGGAAAGCCCCAAGTGCCAGTGTCAGGGGCAGGGGTGGGAGCTTCTTCTCCAGCGTGGCACCCACGATCCAGTTGCTGTCCACAGAGCCTGTGGGTAGACATATGGGATGAGAGGACTTTGCCAACTTCCCACCCTGTCTCAGAAGCATCATCTCAACCCCCAAGTACTTGACCCTGGGAGCAAATGGCTCTCCATTCAGTGACCCCCTCCCCTCTAAGAAGTCCTCCATGACCCTGGGCTCTCTCAGGCCAGTGCTACCCACTCTGGGTCATCATTCTTTGCCGCTGGGTCAGTTCCCCCGCTGTAAGCCCCATTAAGACAAGGCTGGTCTGCTGTGTGTGTCTCCAGCACTGCTCAGCATAGGGCTAGACACATAGCAGGTGTCCACTGTCTGCTGTTTTTAGTAGAGATGGGGTCTCATTCTTGCTCAGGCTGGTCTGTAACTCCTGAGCTCAAAGCAATCCACTGACCTTGGCCTCCCTGAGTGCTGGGATTACAGCCGTGAGCCACTGTGCCCAGCCCAGGAAGAAAGACTTAACACTAGACACTGGGATGAGAGCTAGTCAGCCTCAGATGAGGTTCTGGATTTGGCTGTGGCCTTCTATCTTCCTACAGTCTCAGTTTCCACTAAAGTGAGATGGACAGGGTAGGCTAGATGCTGTCCAAGCTGTCTTTCACTTCTAGGGGAGAGAAATGGCCAAGTGCAGAGCAAACAACAGTATGGCTGGGTGACAGAGGAGGTGGAAAGCTCCGGCTCAGCCCAAGCACACCCACCGATGCTCTGAGGTGGGGCCCAGGTGCCTACTTCCCAAGCACTCCCAGGTAATTTGGAGGCCCAGAGTCCTAGCACACTGTCCTCTATCATCTCTTTTGGCCTACACACCTACTCAGAGCTGAGTCACTTCTCACTTGTTTTCCATGAAGGGAAACTGAAGCCTTTACCTTTGAAGAGGAGATTGGCTTTGGGCAGGTCCAGCTGGTACCCAAAGGAGACACTGGTGTCCTGCATCCTTGTGCTGGCCTCAAACTCCACGCCTACTTGCAGCTACGGGGGCCAGGGCAACACATGAAAGTTAGTTGCCCAATCAGGACTTCCAGGCATACCAGCCCCTGGCAACACGAGGCTGGAAAACACCCTTGCAGCCAGTCCCTGGAGCAGCTCACCTGGTCACTGGCCTTGTGGTAGTATGTTGCATGCATGCCTGCCTGGCCCAATGTTACTGTCGCCAACCAGTTGTTCACTGTAATGAAAACGGGGGTGGGGGGGTGGGGGGGGTGAGAGCAGGTTATCAAGGGGACCTTGGCATCTGAGAATCCAGGCCTCCTCCCTCAGACCCAGGGGGTCTAGCCCCTAGCCCCTCCTCCCTCAGACCTGGGGGTTTAACCCCTGCCCCTCCTCCCTCAGACCTGGGGGTTTAACCCCTGCCCCTCCTCCCTCAGACCTGGGGG